GGCCCCCGCGCCCGCCTCCTCTCCCCCGGGGTCCTCTCCGTGGTGGGCAGCGGGGGAGAATCGTCGGCACCCTCTCACGAGGGCGGGTTTGACTTCTGGGGAATGTCTGGCTCTCCGGATGTAACCCGAGAGGGGCTCCCGTCGGCGTCTTCCCGGGATAGTCTGCACCCTGAGACGCGCTCTTCCCCCAGGAGCGCGGCGGTAACAACTCCTTCACCCACGAGGCGCTCACGCTCAAGTACAAACTGGACAACCAGTTCGAGCTGGTGTTCGTGGTAAGCGGTGTGACAGGGGCGGTGGCTGGCCCGCGGGGTCCGCACAGAGCAGTTGGCCGTGCTCGGGGTGTGAAGGAGTCACCGAGGAAGCTGGGCGGGTGGGCGGGTGGCCAGCTGGCCGGGGAGGGGGGCGGGGGGAGCAGCCTCTGTGCCAGGCAGAGCCTGGCTGCCTCGCCACCCCTGCCGGGAAGCCCGCCAGGTGCTGAGCCTGCCTCGTGCTGAGCCTGCCTCTAGCCTGGGTTGAGATGGCTTCCCTGGGCGCTGGGCGGGCCGTAAGCAGATCTGGGCAGGTCCGTGGGCTCTCTCCCCAACAGGTTGGGTTTCAGAAGATCCTGTCGCTGACGTACGTGGACAAGTTGATAGACGACGTGCACCGGCTGTTCCGGGACAAGTACCGCACGGAGATTCAGCAGCAAAGTGCCTTGAGCCTGTTACACGGCACTTTCGATTTCCAAAATGACTTCCTGCAGCTCCTGCGGTGAGGACGCGCCCTCGGAAGGTGGCTCAGAGACACTTGCTTGCCATCCCGTGCTAACGTGGCGTGAGGTCCCTTTCTCTGGACTTTGGTTTTTCGGTCCCGCGTGGAGTGGAAAGATCAGCCCCGTTTCTCTTTAGTGAAGCGGAGGAGAGCAGTAAGAGCCGTGCTCCCACCACCATGAGGAAGTTCCAAGATTCCGAAAAGGCCAAGAAACCTGTGAGGTCCATGATCGAGACACGGGAAAAGCCCAGGGAAAAAGCCAAGAGTAGCAAAAAAAAGGGGGCCAAGAAGGAAGGTGAGTCCGAGCTCCGTGGCTCTCCCGGGCACGGAGGATGTCACAGAGGGTGTCAGTGACTGCGGAGTCCGTCCTTTGTCACTGCTTTCCTCCTTGAGCTTGGATGACCCCTACCCTCCCCGTGACCCTCAGGCCTAGTAAGCCGTAAGATGCGGGGTCCTAGTCTTCTCCTGAGGGTCTAGAAGGGGGCTTGGTTTCCTCCCGTGAGGTCTCTCCTACCAGGTTCTGATGGCCCTCTGGCTCCCAGCAAAGTAGCTCCGGCAGAAAAGTCAAGTCTCCCGGCGGGACTCGAGAATGGGAGTGAACTTTCCAAAGAAGAGCTGATCCGCAGGAAGCGAGAGGAGTTCATTCAGAAGCATGGGAGGGGGGTGGAGAAGCCCGGGTGAGCGCCTGCCTGTCTCCAGCACTCCAGGGTACTCCCTGCCTGTCTGCAGCACTCCCAGGGTACTCCCTGCCGAGGCCTCTGCAGTTGGCTTATGTCCTCCTCCTTGCTTCTCCTCTCTTTCAATGCTTTGCAGCAAGTCCCTGAAGTCAGATGCCCCAAAGGAGAAGGGCAAAAAAGTGCCCCGAGTGTGGGAACTGGGTGGCCGTGCGGACGAGGGCGTCTTGGATTACAGCGCCCCCACCACCAACGGGACCCCCGAGGCTGTCTTGTCGGAGGACATTGACTTGGTGAGGGTTCTGGGGCCAGAGCGAAGATGCCACAACTAGCAAAGCGGGAGGAGGTGGGCAGAGCTGGAAGGCAACGTAGCATCTGAGTGAGGCCCGAGTTGCTGCCGGCTCAGAGCAGGGTGGACCGGGCCAGTGGGGTCTTGCCTTGGAGCCCGTTATCCAGCCCACCTCCTTCCTGTCCTCGATCCTCCAGATCCGAGGGACTGGGCCTGGGGGACAGCTTCAAGATCTGGACTGCAGCAGCTCCGAAGATGAAGAGGCCGCCCCAAACCCTGCCAAACCTAGGTAGGGAGATTTCAGGTGGGAGCGGGGTGGCTGGTGGGGCCGTGGGACCGACGAGGGTGGACTCCTGCCTGCTGGCCTCCTGCGTTTGATCTGTGCTTACAGAGCTCCCAAGGGGGCCCTGGGGGGCATGTTTGGGATGCTGAAGGGCCTCGTGGGCTCTAAGAGCTTGAGTCGTGAAGACATGGAGTCTGTGCTGGACAAGATGCGCGACCACCTCATTGGTATGCTCTGCACCTGAGGCGACCCTCCATTCGTGGGGGGGCAGGGCCGCCCAGGGCATGCACGGACTGGCCCTGCACACCGCGCCTACACCCCGTCCCCTTTCCTCAGCCAAGAACGTGGCTGCAGACATTGCTGCCCAGCTCTGCGAGTCTGTAGCCAGCAAGCTGGAAGGCAAGGTGATGGGCACGTTCAGCAGTAAGTACTGCCAGCAGGTGCGGCCCACAGCACCCACCTGCCAGCACACGGCTGCGGCTCCCTTCCAGAACCTCGAACCCTCTAGTTCCGTACCTGGGCTGTCTGTTACATTAGAGGAGCTGGTGCAGGGAGGGGCTCTGGACAGCACCGTCTAGATTCCCGGGACAGGGTCCTGGGCTGCCCTAGGTCCCATGGCTCAGAATGGCATTGGGCCCTGGATTGTCCCTTGGGCTCATGGCCATGGGCCTCCTCTGCAGCGGTGACGTCCACAGTCAAGCAGGCTCTGCAGGAATCCCTGGTGCAGATCCTGCAGCCTCAGCGCCGAGTGGACATGCTCCGGGACATCATGGATGCCCAGCGTCGCCAGCGTCCTTACGTTGTCACCTTCTGTGGCGTTAACGGCGTGGGGAAGTCCACTAACCTCGCCAAGGTTGGCACAGCCCAGCCTTCCCTGCCGCCGCCCTGCCTGCCCCGTGTCCTAAGACCCGGGTCCCAGGTGCTGGCGCTCTGCTGCAGATCTCCTTCTGGCTGCTGGAGAACAGCTTCCGTGTCCTCATCGCCGCCTGCGACACGTTCCGCGCCGGGGCCGTGGAGCAGCTGCGCACGCACACGCGGCGCCTGAGTGCCCTCCACCCCCCGGAGAAGCACGGGGGGCGCACCATGGTGCAGCTGTTCGAGAAGGGCTACGGCAAGGATGCTGCGGGCATCGCCATGGAGGCCATCGCTTTCGGTACGGGCATGGATGGCGTAGCCTTGGTGGGCCCTCCCTGTCCGGTTCCCAGGACGCGCTGGGGTGGGGGCCGGGCCCACCCTGAGGTGGACAAGCCGCTCGGAGCCAGGCAGAGGCTCTGCCGCGTTCTGCTCTGGGCAGTGGCCGGAGTTCGGAGCCTGGTCACCTGCTTCCTGCTTCATCTGGTTCCCAGACGTTCAGTGACCACCGGGCAGTGAGTGGGCTTTCTCTTGTCACCTGGCACCAAATCCAAGCCAGGAAAGTAGCCAGACTGGTCCCTGAGGGAGTGGGACAAGCGGAGTGGCAGCCCGCTGTCTGGGTGACCGCACACGCTTCTCTAGCACGTCACCAGGGCTTTGACGTGGTGCTGGTGGACACTGCTGGCCGCATGCAGGACAACGCCCCCCTGATGACCGCCCTGGCCAAGCTCATCACTGTCAATACGCCTGACCTGGTGCTGTTCGTGGGCGAGGCCTTAGTGGGCAACGAGGCCGTGGACCAGCTGGTGAGGCCTGGCCCCAGCCCCTGCAGCTCTGGCCTGTCGGGCAGTTCTGGAGCTTCACTCACCCTCTCCTCCCCAGGTCAAGTTCAACAGAGCCCTGGCCGACCACTCCATGGCCCAGACGCCTCGGCTCATCGACGGCATCGTCCTCACCAAGTTTGATACCATCGACGACAAGGTACCAGGCCTGACGGGCGAGCAGGGCCACGGGGGGAGGGCACCAGGCCGCCGGGTGTTGCACAGGGGCGAGGGCACCAGGCCGCCGGGTGGTGCACAGGGGCGAGGGCACCAGGCCGCCGGGTGGTGCACAGGGGCGAGGGCACCAGGCCGCCGGGTGGTGCACAGGGGCGAGGGCACCAGGCCGCCGGGTGGTGCACAGGGGCGAGGGCACCAGGCCGCCGGGTGGTGCACAGGGGCGAGGGCACCAGGCCGCCGGGTGGTGCACAGGGGCGAGGGCACCAGGCCGCCGGGTGGTGCACAGGGGCGAGGGCACCAGGCCGCCGGGTGGTGCACAGGGGCGAGGGCACCAGGCCGCCGGGTGGTGCACAGGGGCGAGGGCACCAGGCCGCCGGGTGGTGCACAGGGGCGAGGGCACCAGGCCGCCGGGTGGTGCACAGGGGCGAGGGCACCAGGCCGCCGGGTGGTGCACAGGGGCGAGGGCACCAGGCCGCCGGGTGGTGCACAGGGGCGAGGGCACCAGGCCGCCGGGTGGTGCACAGGGGCGAGGGCACCAGGCCGCCGGGTGGTGCACAGGGGCGAGGGCACCAGGCCGCCGGGTGGTGCACAGGGGCGAGGGCACCAGGCCGCCGGGTGGTGCACAGGGGCGAGGGCACCAGGCCGCCGGGTGGTGCACAGGGGCGAGGGCACCAGGCCGCCGGGTGGTGCACAGGGGCGAGGGCACCAGGCCGCCGGGTGGTGCACAGGGGCGAGGGCACCAGGCCGCCGGGTGGTGCACAGGGGCGAGGGCACCAGGCCGCCGGGTGGTGCACAGGGGCGAGGGCACCAGGCCGCCGGGTGGTGCACAGGGGCGAGGGCACCAGGCCGCCGGGTGGTGCACAGGGGCGAGGGCACCAGGCCGCCGGGTGGTGCACAGGGGCGAGGGCACCAGGCCGCCGGGTGGTGCACAGGGGCGAGGGCACCAGGCCGCCGGGTGGTGCACAGGGGCGAGGGCACCAGGCCGCCGGGTGGTGCACAGGGGCGAGGGCACCAGGCCGCCGGGTGGTGCACAGGGGCGAGGGCACCAGGCCGCCGGGTGGTGCACAGGGGCGAGGGCACCAGGCCGCCGGGTGGTGCACAGGGGCGAGGGCACCAGGCCGCCGGGGGTTGCGCAGGGGGGAGGGCACCAGGCCGCCGCGTGTTGGCTCCCCCTGCTGCCGCGGGGCTGACGGGCCGGGCCGCCCTCGCAGGTGGGCGCTGCCATCTCCATGACCTACATCACGGGCAGACCCATCGTCTTCGTGGGCACCGGCCAGACCTACTGTGACCTGCGCAGCCTCAACGCCAAGGCCGTGGTGGCTGCCCTCATGAAGGCGTGACGTGGCTCGTCCCCAACACCAAGTCACCGCTGCCCCCACACCCTGCCCCGTATCAAGAATGCTTCAGCGTGTGTGAGCGATGTGTCTGCAGTGCAGTAGAGGCCGTGGGGTGCTCCCGGGCAGCCAGCCCCTTCTGCAAGGGGACCCAATCATGTCGCAGTCCCGCCCACCGACACCCCCGCGCCTCCTGGGGCTTCCCCATCAGCTGGTCCCATTCCAGCTTTGACCTGTGCTCGGAGTCAGCGCAGAGCCCTGCTGTCAGTGGTCGCAGAGCTGCCCATGCCAACGGGCAGCTCAAAGCCTCGACTTCCAGGGCCAGCATGGGTCCCCAGGCACCTCTCCCTGGGCCCCCGCTTTCAGGCCCTGGCCCCAGGGTGCAGCCCACCTCACTGTGTAGCCTATGGCCTGTTCTTTGCTGCTAGTTCTAATCTGAGGATGACCCCGATGCCCCTGACCCCCAGAGCACCACAGGTTCTCGGCCTCCTGACTTGCCCTCCCCCAGAATCCTGACCTCGGCCGTGCATGTCCCCTGGCCCGGGAGAAGCCACCTGAGGGACGGCTGCTGCCCCCCACCCGTGGCCTGGCCCCGCCCGTCCTCTCCTGCAGTGCCTGTTAGCGGTGGCCACGTGGACCTCGCCCTCCTGCTGAGACCGGTCCTGGAGCTTGTATTACGTGTGAGGAGTGCAATAAGGTGAAGCCTGTCTGCCCAGAGACGTAATTTATACGAGAAAATAAATTTCATACATAAATTGCTTGTCAGGTCTCGGGTGGTTTGTGTAGGACTCAACTGAGCCCCACACGGCACGGACAAGTCGCAGGGCCTGTCCGGAGCAGGGATGCTGAGGCCTTGGGAGGACACTGTCCCATGGGCGGGACCCTGCTGAGAGCAAGGGCAGGACTCGGAAGGTACAGACCCAGACCTGGCAGCACCACAGGGCGTGCTACCACGGCGACTCAGAGCCAAGGCCGGGCAGTAACCAAACGACTTTTAATACAGCCCAGCTGTGTCAGATACTGTACACTGGAAAGGTCTAGAAAACTAGAGCTTCAAGTCAGAGTCTACAAAAGCCGCTGAGCGAAACTGAAAACCAAGCACAGTACAAAACAGCGGGGCCACGGCAGGTCGCCCGTGGGATCCAGATCCCAGTCCGTGCAGAGCTGCAGCGGCAGCGGTGGGGTGTCACTTGCTCTGCCGTGTCCAGTCTGGGGGCCTGGGAGGGCCGCATCTGCGCTGCAGTGTCCCGGGGTACTCCTGAGCTGGGATGGGCGGCAGGACATCCTAAGCAGGCGCCTGAAGGGTTCCACCGCGACGCCCCACCCCACTCCCAGCTGCACCTCCAGGCACTGACGCTTCTGGGAGCATAGCTGGTTCCAGAAACCCCGTCCATGGCAGGGCCTCGGCCTTTCACGTGCGACAGCCTGCAGAGAAGGGGTGGTTGGACGGGATGGGCGTTCAGAGTGGGCCAGGGCACCCGCAACTGCAGACACCTAGTTACCCGAACCCTTCAGGAGAGTCTAGGAGCCCGGGACGGCCTTGACGGGAAAGGACAATCCCAAGTGGACACTGCCACCCAGCCCGAGTCCGAGGGGAGAGCAAGCGGACACCAGTACCTCGTGTGTCGCTCTGGGCCGCAGACGCCCCATTCAGCTGACCTTCTCTCGCTGCTATCCCTGCCAAACAGAACACAGCTGGTCAGGCAGGCCCTGCTCAAGAGCTGAACTACCACCAGCGGCAGGAACCCCAAGGACCCAAGGACGGAGAAGAAGGATTGGGAAACGGGACGGCCCAGGACAGGAAAGCGGGCAGGGGGACCATGGCCATCTCCAGACTGCGCTGAGATGCCTGGATGCAGAATATCTCACGCGGCCAGGCTGGCTGCTGTCCCTGGTGGATGTCCAGAAGGCCAAGGTCAGGGAAAAGAACCCCGCTTGAGCAGGACGGGTGGCAGGTGTGCAGCCAGTCGCCCGGGGGCACTCCAGGAAGCAAAGATACTCCGCGAGCAACAGCGTCTGATGTGAGCCAGAGCACGCTGCCGCCTGGTGTCAGCCCAAGTCACACCCAGCTCCTCGGTGACGGGCTGCACACAAGCACTCAGGCCCACGGTGAAGCCGCAGGACAACAGGACAGGGAGAGGACCGACACCACAGGTGGGCGGGGAGCCCTGGCCGGTGTGTGCAAAGCCAGGGCACGCACACGTGCAAACTGGCCTACCTGCAGGGAAAGCTACTCGCTGCGCTGACCACCCACTGAGATGCCCACGCCCTCCCCGTGGTTACAGAGAACCCACTCAGAGGAGGCTCCTGGCCGAAGGGAGCAGAGGGGGGCCGGCGCCCACCTTTCTCACCGCAGGGGAAGGAGAGTCAGCAGCTGGAGGCAGGAACCTGGACACAGGGTGCCCACACGGGGCAGGGCACGCCTGGTGAAGGCAGTGCTGGCACCTGGCGACGTGGGAGATGAGCAGGGTGCTACCGCGTGTCAGTCTGCCCACATCAGCCAGCAGGTGGCATGGAGGTTAGGGTGCTGGAAACCACACAGCTGGCCGTGTGTTCTGGTCCCAGACCCGGCAGCTTGAGTCACACCAGACACATGCATGTGTGCCCCAAATGCCAAGAACGGAGGAGGGACTGGAGCGTGGCCATGCCCTAAAGGAGCTCATTGTTTCTCTGGCAAGCACACGCGCCCTCTAGAAAACGAAAAAAATCCCCAAGTCGGCCGGCCCCACGGTGCCATGGGCAAGGGCTATGCCAGATCCCAAGCAGCCACGAGTGGGGTCCACGTGGGTACCCTGGGGCATGGAAAACTGGAGGAAGGGCGGCAGTTGGGCAGCCCCGGTGCCACACTGCACCATGAAGATGGGGACAGAAGGACCCAACGACATGCACTCGGTCACAGCTACGGAAAACGCACAGGGACACGGTTCACCAGAACAGACCGAGGTGACTTTCCGAGGTGATGAACTGTAACAGGATTTTCTTTCCTCCATGACGTGGGTTTCCAGGAACACGTCCTAAAGCCCAAGAACCTCTGCAGACCTAACTTCTGTACGTAGGAGGGAGTCCCGCCCACGCCAGGCACAGCGCGGGCTCGGGGCTGGGCAGCAGCACTGCCTTTCAGTGCGTGCCGGCAGACGCCGCAAGCGCACGTCTGCACACGCACACAGCTGCAGCTCTGCAGGCATGCAGTGGGAGCCACCTTCCTTCCCTTTCCTCACCAAGCCTCGGCCGACCTGTGGTGGGGAGTCCGTCCCCTCTCACGGCGCCGCTGCGGTTCCCCATATCCAGACACCCCCAACCCCGACATCTCGGGTCCTCCCAGTCGTGTGCCACCCTGTATGACACAGCAGGCACACACATGTACATCTCGGTGCACCCGGGACTACTGCATCCCACGGTCTCCCTGGGAGCAGCTTCTAGGACAAACTACCAGTGGGATTTGTAGGGCGGCGGTCCCGTTTGATACATGTTCAAGACGTTCTCCCTTTCAGCGTTCTCAGGCTGAGACCCGTTTCGACCTTCCCTTTACGACAGCTGGACTAAGCCCCCTGTCCATCGACACCCGAGTACCCACTTCCCCTCAGTCTAGCCCGATCACGTGCCTCCATTCTTCTGTATTTTCGGATCTAACATCTCACAGCATTCCGCGGACAGCCAATGAGGCGGGAGAGCTTTACGGGTGCGGTGGTCTGCCTTCTCCATGGAGGTGTAGGCCGCGGCCTGCAGAAGCCTGAGGGCAGGTGATCAAGAACTGCGGCTAACCTGGGCGGCTGCCCCGTCACGGCCCGGGAGGGGG